TGTGAGCTCCCTGACATGAATGCTGGGAACTGAACTCCAGTCCTCTATGAGCACAGCAAGTCTAACTGCTGAGCCTTCTCTCCAGTCCCCACTGAGGTGGTTTTTTAATGTCACCTGCTCTTTAGACATTTTATTCTGAGTGTTACTGGTCAGGCTCAACACAGTTCCTCATGAGCATTTTGCAAACCAAGATTCTCTTAATGGGGAATGGCCATCTTTACAATGTGTGTGGATTTGCTGATGTGCCTGAAAAGTTCAGTTCTCAGTTCTCATCACATGTTTCCATGTTCATAAGCCATCCCACTGAGTCAGGATGTAACTACTGATGCAGTCTCCTTGCCTGGCTGTGTTTTTCTTCATCTTTTGTATTAAGGAGGAGGAGGAGACTTTATGGAAAGCTGGAAACTTTGAAGTATAACTTGATTTAGGATGTCTTAAAATTGGCAAGTACTGCCGGGCGTTGGTGGCGCACGCCTTTAATACCAGCACTTGGGAGGCAGAGCAGGAGGATCTCTGTGAATATGAGGCCAGCCTGGTCTCCAGAGTGAGTGCCAGGATAGGCTCCAAAGCTACACAGAGAAACCCTGTCTCAAAAAACCAAAAAAAAAAAAAATGGCAAGTACCTTACATCCCTTGGGTGGGATGAGCTCAGTTGTCTCCTCTTGTTGCAGGGATAATGCAGGAGAGGACAATGTCTCATTTATTGGTTGAGTGTCTGGGTCATGTCCACACAGGCAGGATTAAAACCCAAGCCCTTTAGCCTTTTCTTGTGTCTTCAGAACCATCCTGTGGTTTTGATATTCTTAGATGCAAAGTTCCCTTGATTAGACCTCATAGCAGGAAAATATGTTCCTTTGGTTATTCTGGGAAGTCATTTGGTGGTTTAAAAATACGGATTTGACTTTCATTTTTTGGATAGGACTCTTTTGTCATACTATTTTAGTCATTAGAAACACCGGGGAAAGTTCTAGTGTTGTGTTGGGGAAGGATCACAGAGAGTGATTCATTTTTTACTTAAGGCTTCCACTGCTGACCTAGGGAGGCTAATTTAGAAGTGAATCATTTATAGAAAGTTCTACCCCCTTCGAGGCAGGGCTTTCTACAATATCCTCACATAGGTCTAAATAAAGCATACAGTATCATCTTTCTAAATGTCTGTCTTGTTGCCAATTTCATATCTTTTCTAAGCCGTGAAACTGTTTCTAGTGACTACAGGTATTAAGGCTTTTTATATAGAATGAGGCATTATTTAAAACAATACTAGAGATTTGGCATATATGTTACATTGAGAAACTACTAGGCATGAGATTTTTGAATGACTATGTTTATAATACGAAGAAATGAATGTAAATAGTTTAAAATTACCAGAAGCAGCATTAAAAAAGAAAACCTCAATTATCATAATTCAAATTGAGCAACCATGCTTTGCTGGTATTTTGGTATTTGTTAAAATGCCTAGTGCATGTGACTTTTAGAGTCATATAGAAGTAATTCCTTTTGGAAGCTTTCATTCTCCTTTTTGGAAGTGAATGATTTATTACAAAAACTATTTAGTTCCATACAGCATAAGATGCATAGTCTCTGATGTTTAGAAGCTTTTCATTGAAAACTGAATTGATATTAACACCACAGATAAAGTTCATGGGTTAGAAAAGACCCACTGAAGTCTGAATTCTTGTTATGACTTTGACCTTGGACAAATGGACAGTCTTTTGGGTCTGAGCTGAAGTCCTTATCTGCTGAGAGCACAGGAAGTTTGCCTTCACGTCTGACTGCTAACACATTAGGACCCACACAGATGTTAACTCTCAGGGAAGCATCAGGGGAGAAAGAGATTGGAATCAGTTCATCACTGCTGGGTCCTGGGCAAGACTTCCTTTTCCTCTCTAAGCCATTATTTTCTAAACTGGGAAGAATAAATGGGAAAGCAAGGCTGCCGATACAGTTCAGTGGCAGCGTGTTCTTAAAGATTACTTTAGGAGGCAGCATGTGTATGACAGGGCACCTGTGTGGGAGTCTGAGGACACCTTTCAACAGTTGATTCTCTTCTTTTGTCTTGCTTTGAGGCAGGGCCTCTCTTGTTTCTGCCTGAGTGCCGAGTCCATACCTTCTGGCTGGGTCTGTGTGCCTCACAACTCTGTGTAGGAGTACTGAGATTATAGGTGCAAGCAACTGCATCTGGCTTTTTATGTGGGTCTGGAGATTAAACTCATGTTGCTAGGCTTGCACGGCAAGTGCCTTCACTCCCTGAGCCACCTAACTGCCCTGGAGGCAAGTTCGTAGCATGCTTGGGACCCTGAACTAAAACCCACCAACCAAAAAACACACCTGTTGGTTGCATGGCCCTTTTCTAAAAGGCTTAGAATTAGATGTATTTTGGATCCCCAAATATTTGCATGTTTAATGTGAAATTCATTTACATTTTGTTTCAATCTTACATGCATAGACTGAAGGTAATGCTGTATAATACTTTTAAAAGTAATTTGGAACAGAAAACAATATTTTGTGGTGTAGAATGTTCCACATCAGGTTGAGGTACAAAACGTTTTGGATTAGGGAACATTCTGAATTTGGACTTTCAGAAGGACACCATCACCAGGAGCTGTTGTCAGGTGTACAAGTGGCTGGTACCCATAATTCTTCAGTGTCTCTTGCTCTTAACACTGATTTTCTGTTATCCTTTCAGACTGTCATCTCCTCAGCATGTTGTTTTCAGTGGAATAGATGCTGGTATCCACTGTGCTTTAGCAGAAATGGGAGCCCATATTAGAACAATGTACACTTTGCCCCAGTATCAACATAGTTATAAAACAACTTTGAGTTGTCAAAGTTTTTCGATATCACATGTTTAGCCTTTGAGGATGTTATGTTTTGAATAAGAATGGCCCCCATAGGCACATATATTTGAATGCTTAGTCACCAAGGAGTGGAACTGTTTGAAAGAATTAGAAGGATTAGGAGGTGCGTCCTTGTTGGAGGAAGTCTGTGACAAGGAGTGGATTTTGAGGTTTCAGAAGCTCATGGCAAGCCCAGGCTCTCTCTGCTTTTGGATCAAGATGTAGCTCTCAGCTACTGTTCCAACAGCATGCCTGCATGCCTCCATGGTCCCAGCCATCATGGTGATGGACTAAGCTTCTGGAACTGTAAGCCAGCCCCAATTAAGTGCTTTCTTTCATAAGAGCTGCCTTGGTCATGGTGTCTCTTCACATCTATAGAACAGTGACTAAGGCATGGGGAGTCATAGAGCAGAAAACACTAAATTTTTGGAAGGCTTTTTTGTTGTTGTTCTTTTGAAATAGGGTCATTAGACTGCCTTGGCTGGCCTAGAATTCACTATATAGACCAATCTTTGAAACTTAGACAACACAAACAGCCCAGGGCTGGAGAGTGGTCCAGTGGTTAGGAGCACTTGACGCTCTTTCAGAAGACTAGAATTCAGACCCCAGCGCCCACATCAGGTAGCTTTCAACCACTTGTAACTCTAACTCCAGGAGGACCAAACACTCAAATGCACTCAAATGTATACACACAGACAGACACACCTGCATATGCATAATTAAAACCAGAATAAATGTGAAAAAAAGAGAATAGACCAGGTATAACATCGTCATTAACAAAAGGAAAAACTCCAAATGTTTTCTTATGAGTAATGGTGGAGAGAAAATCTCCACGAAAGAGTAGGGAGGGTCACTAGGCGTATCCATTTCCCTTTTTTATTTTCTACAATGACATTGACATTTCTGCAATTCTCATTTGAGGTAAAGGATACAAAGAAGGTAAGGTTATTCGGGAGACGGAGATGTAGTAAGACTGTTACATGAAAGGTTTTTTTTGGTGGGGGTGTTTGAGACAGGGTTTCTCTGTGGCTTTAGAGGTGGTCCTGAAACTATCTTGAACTGGTCTTGAACTCACAGAGATCTGCCTGCTTTTGCCTTCCAAGTGCTGGGATTAAAGTCGTGTGCCACCACCACCCAGCTATGTGAAAGTTTTTAGTATTGCTTCTGTAGGTAGCCCCAGGAGATAACTGTTTCATTTGCTTACACTTAAAACCAAACCCTAGAGGAAGAAAAGAGATACCACAATAGAGGGAGCCATTATAAGTTTAAAGAGAATTTTGGCACTAGGAAAATGTCCAGAGATCTACAAGTTTGACCCCAACTAATAATCTAAGCAGTGATTGAGAGTCTACTTTAAACACCCTTCTCCAATAATGAGATTGAAGACTACCTTATATGCCATCCTAGAGCCTTCATCCAGTAGCTGATGGAAGTAGAAGCAGACACCACAGCTAAACACTGGGCTGAACTCTGGAATCCAGTTGTAGAGAGGGAGGAGTGATGAGCAAAGGGATCAGAACCAGACTGGAGAAACCCACAGGGACAGCTGACCTGAACAAGGGATTGCTCATGAACCCCAGACTGATAGCTGGGAAACCAGCATAGGACTGTTCCAGACCCCCTGAATGTGGATGTCAGTTTGGAGGTCTGGGCAATCTATGGGGCCTCTGGTAGTGGATCAGTATTTATCCTTAGTATTCAAATGGACTATGGGAGTCCATTCCACATAGAGGGATACTCTCTCAGTCTAGACACACTGGGGAGGGGCTAGGCCCTGCTCCAAAGGATATGACAGACTTTGAAGATCCCCCATGGAAGGCCTCACCCTCCCTGGGGAGCAGAAAGGGGTTGGGATGGGGATTGGGGGCAGGGGAGGAGGGGAGGGAGAGGGAACTGGGATTGACATGTAAAATAAGCTTGTTAATAATAATAATAATAATAATAATAATAATAATAATAATAGTAATAATAATGAACAAAACCATACCCATAGAATTTCTGACGCTTTGGCTAGTTCTTGGGACTCTTCCTCCTATTGGGTGCCTTGTCCAGCCTCAATGTGCGGGCTTTTGCCTTGTCTTATTGTATCATGTTTTGTAGTGTTTGGTTGTCTCTTGCCTGCTCTTTTCTGAAGGGAGAAGGAAGGGAGTGGGTCTGGGGAAGATGGCAGGATGGGAGGAGCAAATGAAGGTGAGACTTTGATCAGGATGTATTGAACGAGAGAAGAATCTATTTTCAAAAACACACATCCACAAAGCATGCACTTCTAGGTCTTCAAATTCTAACTTTTTTCCACATCTTGTTGGAGCATGTGGAATCTTTGGCCAGCATAGTTCCTGTTTAAGGAAAGCATCAAACAAAAGAGAGCTAGAAATGAACTTCCTGGAGTTTTAAAAAGAATTTGGATGCGTTTTCTGGAGATTTGTTCGTATGACCACTGACTAGAATACTTTCCGAAGCAATTAGTGACAAATATTTATTCTGTGGCTTACATAAACCATCTTTGTAGAGTGTGTAATGGTGCCACCATAGGAAATGTAGCATTAATTTATATTGCTCGTTCTATACTCAGGCTTTCTCTGTCCTGGCAGGTGAGTGTGAATGACCAATAGTAACAGGTATGTGGTAGGAATTTTAAAATACAGGGAAAGTAGCAATTAGAACTTTAAAAATATACAATAAGAATACTGTCCATGAATTACCTTTCAGTTTAAAAAATTGAATAATATGGCGTATTAGTCAGGGTTACCTAGAGGAACAGAACTGATAGAATATATACACATATATGAATATATGTTCATATTCAGTATACACTGGAGTCCTAAAGACATGGGCTCTAATGTCGGTGAAATGAGAGCAAGAGTCAGCAATCAAAGAGCACACGCTTCCTGCTTCCTGTCCTTTAGGTAGGTTGCCATGAGAAGGTGTGGTCCAGATGCTGGCCTCCAGGGCTGGATTTAAGGTGGGCTTTCCTACCTCAAATAATCCAGTTAACTAAAAATCCTTCATAGGTGTGTCTGACAACTTGGATTTTTAGTTATTCCAGACCTGTCAAGTTGACAACAAGAATAGCTGTCACATACAGTTTATGGGGGGAATGAAATTTATCATGGCTCTGACCTTTAAAAGTGAGCGAAACCCAATTCTTCCACCCGGATCCTGCATTTTCAGAAGCTCTTATGTGTAGCTGCAAATGTTTTTCAGAATGTGTCTGTCTGACGGGAACAGCAGTGCAGGACCCTTAGAACTAGTTGGCTTGTGAAGCTATTTCTTTTATGCATAATCCCTTACTGAATTTTGTAAGAACTCTGGATGTATCCCAAACTTTAGCAATGCCATCCAAGCCTCAGGGTTTCGGTATGCAGCCCAGGCTGGTATCGAACTCACAGAGGTCCCCCTGCCTCTGTCTCCCGAGTGTTGGAATTAAAGACATGTGCCATTGCACACATCTCTCTCTCTTTTTAAATATAAGTGGTTTTATTTGTTAGTTGATGACATACAATTTATTCCTAAAACATTTCAGCTGCTGTTTAAATTGGACCCCCTCTTCTGTGCTGGGCACTGAGCCCATTAGTAACAAATGATAACAACAACCTTGGTGTTTTACAGATGAGCATAGGAGCAAAGCAACAGTAGCCCAACAAGGCAATTTCATTTTGCAAAAATACCTGGACTTGTCTGTGGAGGGCAAGGCATGGTAACACATGTTTTTAATTCCAGCACTCGGGAGGCAGAAGCAGATCTCTGAGTTTGAGGCCGGCACTATGACACAAAAGAAATAAAATGTCTCTCATTAAAAAAAATCTGTTGACTGGTTTTTATACTCATTTTCATTGTCGTGGGTCTGTCACTATAATGCACATACATTGTGAAGACCTCTGGTATTAGAATATTATATTTTGGAGCTGTGAGCAATAGGACACCTAATTTAAGCCACTCTGCGGCTGATGAGAAGTGAAGTCAGGTCCTTGGCTTTGACAAGTGATGACTTTGTAACTTTAAGCAAATTACTTTATCTTGCTACGTCTCCATTTCCTGTTTGTGATAAGAGGATAACAATGTCCTTTATACAGTCATTGTGAGGGTTAGATGAGAGAGCAGACACAGATGACTTAGCCTATATTCAATATATGTTGTCTAATGTTAGCATATGGAAATGTTGCCTCAAATTCTACCCACCCACCAACTTACTAATACATGCTACAACAGAGACATTTTCATCGTAAATCGAGGACTATTATTGAATAAGCTCCTTAATGACCAGACTGATCTAAAAGGTTTCTTTCTCTTTGCAGATCTTATTTTGTACTTTAAACACCCCCAGAATTGACATGGAAAAGCTTTTAGGAGGGCAGCTGGGTCTTGAGGATTTCATATTTGCCCATGTGAAAGGAACAAAAAAGGAAGTGAAGGTCTACAAATCGGAGGACTCTCTTGGACTCACCATCACAGATAATGGTGTGGGCTATGCCTTTATCAAGGTAAGTTTTTGGAAAAAGAAATCACAGGGTGGCCCAATTGAAAACACTGTTAGTCAAAGAGAACTAGAAATTACCTTCAGGGAGTGCCAGGTAGCTCAGCTGGGCTTCACAAATGGGCATTTCACTGTCATTTAAAAAACATCTGAAGATGGCATTTTTTTGTACTCTTTTTGAAATTCTTCCCTTTGCTTTAAACAGCCACTACAATTTAGAACTTCTTGAGAAGGAAGGCCTGGTCCTAGTGTCTTCTCTTTACTCATGGAAGTTGTTCCCTGCTTGTGTATCTCCGAGGACATACTGGATGATTCCCAGTGGTTTAGTGTTACTTCTAACAGCACAGATTTGTTTAAAAATGCTCTTCAGAATGGTCTGAACAATGGAATTCTTTCATGTGAATACAAAAAGAGTAATACAGAGTTGTAAGGATAAGTTTAAATAGTATGAAACTGAGGATAGTGAAGAAGTAAAAATTCTGCTGTAACGAGCACAGCTCTCCCTCCACCCCTGAGTGTCCGTGTCCGTGTGCGTGTCCGTGTCCGTGTGTGTGTGTGTGTGTGTGTGTGTGTGTGTGTGTGTGTTGGGGGGGCATGGGTTGGTTCAGGAATCCCTGTGCATGTTAAAATCTGTGTCTGCTTGGTTGTTTGATACAAATAGCATAGCATTTCTATATAACCTATGTGCACCCTCTGGTATAGCTTAAGGCATCTCTAGGTAACTTGTGACATCTATATAAATAGTTATTGTGTCACATGGCTCAGAGACCATGGAAATATTTCTGTATGTCCAGTACAGACAATTCTCAAATGTTCTCTTGAGACATGTCTTGCCGTGTAGCGCAGGCTGTTCATGAACTGGGCTAGGTGACCCCCGCCTCATGATTGGCTGACATAACAGCCAACTTACATGGAATGTCTGCCCAACACCAGTCACTTCACATGCTTTGTTTTCAACCTTCACAATAACCCTATTTTGATTTATTTTAATTTTATATGTACGGTGGTGCTTGTGCTCATGTGTGTGTGCACATGGGTATGTAGGTGTGTGTGTATGTGTTCATGTGGGTGGAGGTCAGAGCTTGATTTCCCTCAGTTGCTTGCCTCATTTTTTGAGACCAGGCCTTTCACTGAGCTATTGCTCACTGATGAGGTTGGGTTGGCTGTTCAGTGCTTTAGGGATCTGCCATCTGTGCCTCCCCATTGCTGGGATCACAGATGCCTGCATGCATTACTGGGATCACAGATTCCTGCGTGCATTGCTGGGATCCCAGATGCCTGCATGCATTGCTGGAGTCACAGATGATGCCTGCGTGCATTGCTGGGATCACAGATGCCTGCATGCATTGCTGGGATCACAGATGCCTGCATGCATTGCTGGAACCACAGATGATGCCTGCATGCATTGCTGGAATCACAGATGCCTGCATGCCTGCCTCTTTGTATGGGTTCTGGAGATCTCAGCTCTGGTCCTCAGGTCTCACAGCAAGTACTCTTTTCAACTGGTCTATCTCCTATTTTCACAGCAATCTTATTTTATTAGCACTATGTCTTTTTAACTTTGCTTTTATGTTTCAGTCTTGTACATCTCTTAAAACCACCTGTAGCGCAATAGATGCTCACTCCCTAACTATAGTGGGAAATTACCAATACGGAGTCAGGTAGAAATATAAGGGTATTTAATAGGGAAAAGCCTTACTTACAGAGCGACCTAGCCAGCCGGTGACAGCAGCCTGTACAGCAAGAAGCAAAGAGAAACCAAAAGCGCAAATGCAGTCACACTACGTCACTCTGACCACGCCCTCACAATGTGGTCAGGCACACCTGTAGCCAGCCCCTAAGAAGGCGTGGCTACAGCTTCCCCTACACCTAACACTGGTGCAATGGTGCAATGGATGCTCACTAATGCTGGTGCAATGGTGCAATGGATGCTCCCTCCCTAACACTGGTGCAATGGTGCAATGGATGCTCACTAATGCTGGTGCAATGGTGCAATGGACGCTCACTCCCTAACACTGGTGCAATGGTGCAGTGGATACTCGCTCACTAACACTAGTGCAAAGGTGCAATGGAAGCTCGCTCCCTAATGCTGGTGCGATGTTGTAAGAGCCACACACAGGCACTGCGTTTTCTGCCACCCTGAAGGCGCTTTGTTCGTCCTTCCAGTTGATACCTGCCCTGAAAAGTGGCACCTGCTGCCATTTGCTTCTTTGACATTTATGGAGTCATGCATTATTTACTCTGCCATCTCTGCTTTGTCAGGGTGTCTTTGCAATCTGACTGAGGTGGGCAATGTGACCAATCCCTACTTTACAGTGCAGAGATATCAGGTGGTTAGATAGGTTGGCCACAATTATACAACTAGCCAGGTTCAGGATTTGAACCCAAGAAGTCTGACTAAGAGCCAGCATTTCTGTGCACTGAGTTAAGACTTAGCCACAGGATTTGTGCAGCACAGAACAGTTTATGCCTTTCTTTGCTGATTCACCACCATCATTAGAGAAACAGTCACAGGGATGTCATGTTAGCTGTGGATGCTGCTCTGACTGCCCGCTTGATAAACGGTTATTTTTAGCTCTGCAGGAGATAGGAGTGCACCGGAGGTCGAGTGGGTGACCAAATGGAAAACCCTTGAGTTGGGAAAGTCATGTGGGATAATCCAGGGGAAGTTTAGGACACCGGGCACTGGCGGCAGGGCCTGCCTTCTGTCTGCAGAGCACGGCTTGGGAGTTTCGCAAACGTGTGTGGATGCTTTGGATGTTAGCCTCTGACATTCAGAGCTGCTGTTTCTATTTTTTTTAAATGTCTCGTCAAACATGTGCCTGCCTCAGAGTACTAGTCACTAGTCCTTTGGGGACAGAGGGCGTGATGAGAAAAGAGGAAGCCAATATATTGTGTACTTTAAAATACAGATGATAAAAATTTTATAAACTGGATAATTTAAAAATTGAAAATATTATAATAGTTATAAAAATAGCTCTTATATGCCACTTACACAAATGTCCAGTTTTGATCATTTGCTAATTTGCTGTGTTTTGTGTATATTTATGTCTGTATCTTTATCTATATCCATCCTTTTTCATTCCTTATTACAGAGAGCAGTTACTAAGAACAAAAATATTCTTTATGCTGCACATAAACGGAGTACAGTTGTGAAACTGAGAAGACTCGAACACTGGTTTGGCTCTGTAACTAATCCCCGGGGCTGGGTAGAGTGTGTCTTGCACACACAAAGCCTTGGGATCTGTCCCCAGCACAGCATAAAAGTGCATGCCTATAGTACCAACACTCAGTGGGTAAAGGCAGAGTGATCAGAAGCTCAGGGTTACCTTTGGCTGTGTAGAGAGCTTAAAACCAGCTCAAACAAACAAGAAAAACTCATCTCTAGCCCACTTTGGTTCTGGTTGCCTTCTGCATACGCCTCCTTCTGGTAGTTCCGGGCACCATCCTGCTTTCTATTAGTTGATCTGTGTCTCTGGAATAATTCTTTAGCTTTTGGTAGGGTTCGTTTTAATCTATTATTTTCCTTGATTACAATAAATTTATATGTTTGGGTATTTTGCCAGCACATACCTCTGTGTACCATGTGAATGTCTGGGCCTTGCAGAGGCCAGGGGGTGTCAGATCCCCTGAACTGGAGTTATAAATGCTTGTAAGTGCCATGTGAGTGCTGGGAATTGAACCGGAGTTCTCTGCAAAAGCAGCCACCGTTCTTAACCTCTGAGCCATTCCTTCTGCTCCTAATCTGCTATTTTCTGATGTTTCCTTATGCTGAGAGATAGGCTATGTACCCTTTGGACTGGTATCAAGTGATGACAGTTCCTTAGGTGACCACTTTGGAAGAAATGCGGGGGTTTGTCATCTCACTATTTGTGATACTGTGTTTTCTTTTGTAAATAGTAAATGAGAGTGTGTGGATACGTTTAGAGTCAAGGGGATCACAGTGGCTTGTTCCCTACAAGCCTGGGTCCAGATTAAATAGGTCTTCTTTGCCATTCGCAGCATTAATCTCCAAAACCAGATGGGAGAAGAAGTTCTTTAGATTCTTAAGCAAATACTGAATAACATAAATGACTCAAGAAACATTAACAAATAATGATTCCCTTTCATTCCTCTTGATCCTTAGGACAAGGTCACAAACCCAGAGATATTAATCTTTGTTCAGTTACTGTATGATTGTTAAAACACATTGTATTTCAGAAGTTTATATCCATTGACACTTCATTTAAATTTATAAAAATATTTTGTTCACAAGTCCACAGCTCTGTGTGGAGGCCAGAGTTCAGTATCATGTGGTGTCCTTCAGGGGCTATCTACCTTCTTTCTAAGACAGGATCGCTCCCTGGGATCTGGGCTCATCAATCAACTAGACTAGCAAGCCAGAAGCCCCAGGCATCCTCTTGCCTCAGCCTCCCCAGAGCTGGGGTTAGACACCCACACACCCCCATGCTTGCACAAGTAACAGACACTTCACTGACTGGGCTATCTCGCCCAGCCCCACTATTTTTTTTTTTTTCCAGCTTGACACAACTGAGAAGTTGTCTCTATGAGATTGCCTTTAGGCAGATCTTTGGGGCATAGTCTTGATTCAGAATTGATGAAGGAGAGCCTAGCTCACTGTGTGCACTGCCACCCCTGAGCAGGTGGTCCTGGGCTATGTGAAAAAGCAGGCGAAGCAAGCCACGGGGAACAATCCCGTAAGCAGAGCTCCTCCATGGCCTCCATATCAGTTCTTGACTGCTCGCTCTTGCCTTGCATCCCGTCCTTGGCTTCCCTCAATGGACTGTGGCCCGGGGAGTATAAACCAAATAAACTCTTTCTTTCTCATTGTTTTTGTTTTGTTTTGATTTGATTTGTCTCTCTACACAGCCCTGGCTGTCCTGGAAGTCTTTTTATGTAGACCAGGTTGCCCATACAGAAATCCTCCTGCCTCTGCCTCCAGAGTAAGGTGATTAAAGACATGAACCACCATTCCCGACCTGGTCACTGTCATTTTATCACAGTAGAGCCCTAACTAACGCCACCCAGCACCTCCGTGTTTATTCTATTGGCTTAGAAGTCAGCTCCGATCACACGTAAAACAACCATGGTCACTACCCCGTCTTCTGGCACTCTTCTCCAGGTGTCATCGCCATTTTCTCTTCCTGATTCCCAATTCACCTCTGTTCTCACAGCAGCCTGGACTCCTTGGCTGCTGCCTAGGCCTCTCCCTGCTGTTGTGTGACTTCTGTGACCTGCTTTCCTCCTGCCTGGGCGCTCTCTGGTGACATTTCTAACTTCTTACAGACTGGGTGACAGTGACACTATCCTGACCCTTCATTTACAGGTAAGGGTCATGTTTCACCTCTGCTTCTTTTTGTCTGATTAAGCCTATGTATTTCACTATTTTAAACAAAATTACAAGTGTTGAAAAAACTAAAGGTATCAATGAAGTCACTGAAATTTGTTTGATAAATTTGATCAAAGAGGGAAAAAATAGGCTCCAGGTGTATCAAGCAAGACATCAATTAGAATAAAAAAAAATCCAAAGTCAAATGCAGATTTCAAATCCCATGGTGACTTAAGAGCAGTTATTTAGCAGTGTATTTAAAAGTTTATTTTTCCATTTAGAAGGAAATCTTTTGTTTAATCTTTTTTTTTTCTCAAACAGTTTAAAAACTGTAGATTTTTGGGGGCAGGATGGGGGGCAGTTTCAAGACAGAGTTTCTCTGTGTAACCCTGGCTGTCCTGGAATGAACTGTGTAGATTAGGCTGACCTCAAACTCTGAGATCCTCCTGCCTCTGCCTCCTGAGTGCTGGGGTTAAAAGTGTACGCCACCACTACCCGGCAGAACTGTAGACGTTTAAGCTGTGTGCTGTGGTTACCATGTTTGTTTCTATTAGACATGTAAGAGATGATGAATTTCAGTAAAGCAATGTCAGTCAGATTTGGAAACTGCTTTCACTACTTTTTGTTTGTAATAATAAATGAGACCTAGTTGAATGGGGATTAGAATGCCATTTGTATGTAGTGTGTTAATAAGGACAAGAACAAAAAAAAGTAATACTATTTTTAGAATCTGGAAGTAAAATGAAAGCTACGGTTTGTTTGGTGTGCAATGATACAATTAAAATACACTTATCTTTCTAAGCTTTTTCCTGAGGGCAGCATTATGGAGATGTTGGCTACTTCTGGTTTTGCTCAGCTCTTACACATGGTGATCAGGTAAATGTGGCATTGCACATCTACCTGGTAAGGGTAGGGTAATACACTCTTGGAACAAAGCAACCAAGCCCCTGGCCTGCCTGGCCTGTAAGGACATGAAGGACTTAGGACCTTTGTGCTGTTCCCCTGCTCATCTCTGGGGAGAACTTGCATGTGTTTGCAGGACTCTTAGCTGGCTGGGTTTTCTGGAGTTCCCTTCCCTAAAATCCCTGTAGAATTCTTGGTGCCATCTCATGGATTTTATACCTTAGGATGAAACTCTGGCAGTTGCATTGTAGTTTCCAAATCTGACTGACATTGCTTTACTGGTATTCGTCATCTCTTACTTATCTAACAGAAACAAACATGGTAACCACAACACACAGCTTAAAAGACTACAGTTGCATTGTAAGATTTAATAACATAGGTGTGTTGGAACAGGTCTGAAATCCCATTATTTAGGAGCCAGAGGCAGGAGGATTGTAAGTCCGAGGCCAGCCTGGGCTACCTAGAGAGATCATGTCTTTAAAAACCAAAATCAAAATGAAAATAGGGCTGATGAGATGACTCATCAGGTAAAGAAAGGTGTTTGCTGCCATGCCTGACAAGCTGAGGTAAGTCCTTGGGACACTGACTCCTGGAGGTTGTCCTCAGACTTCCACATGCTTGCCATGGCACGCAAGCATGCACACACACAAATGTAATAAAAATGAAAAAAATTGCTACAGCTTTAAACACAAAGCCACTAGACAGAGCTTATGGGTCTCTTGCTGAAATTATTAAAAAAGGAAGAAAATAACTTATCCATGGAGCCGGAGAAACGCGTCAGGGGCGAAGAGCACTTCCTGTTCATCCACAGGGAATTTGATGCTTTCTTCTGGCCTCTGTGGGCGCGCGCAAAGAGAGAGGAAAAAAGAACGAAAGAGAGACAGAAGGGAAGAAGCAAAGAAAGGAGGAGAGAGAGAGAGAGAGAGAGAGAGAGAGAGAGAGAGAGAGAGAGAACGCACAAATACATAAGAAGAAAAATAGATATTTTTGTTTTGTTTTTTGTTTCCCGAGACAGGGTTTCTCTGTGTAGCTTTGGAGCCTATCCTGGCACTCGCTCTGGAGACCAGGCTGGCGTCAAACTCACAGAGCCCCACCTGCCTCTGCCTCCCGAGTGCTGGGATTAAAGGCGTGCGCCACCAACACCTGGTGAAAAATAGATCTTTAAACCATCATTTATCACTGTGTAGTTTGGAGTGCTGGGTGTACAGTGACAGATGCTGTGTTGGGCAGACTGCTGCCTGCCTCACCTCTTCTTAGGGGCCTGCGTAGGAGGATGTCAGGAAAAGATTTCCAAAGGAGATGGTGCTGTGAGCTGCTGGATTCTGAATGGGAGGGAGATGAAGAATGGGTGGAGAAGGGACGTGTGTTCTTTCTTGCTTGGTTTTCCGTCTTTCAGCGAGCATTAGACCATATTGTAAGTGTGTCAGCGTGATGACTCTCAGGAGTGTGAGAAGTAAGGCCACACAGTTCCACTTGCTAGCATCCCTGATCTTTCTTTCTTTCTTCCTTCCTTCCTTCCTTCCTTCCTTCCTTCCTTCCTTCCTTTCTTCTTTCTTTCTTTCTTTCTTTCTTTCTTTCTTTCAGAGAATTAAAGATGGCAGCACCATTGACTCAGTGAAAACCATCTGTGTGGGGGATCATATCGAATCCATAAACGGAGAAAATATTGTTGGGTGGCGTCACTATGAAGTCGCTAAGAAGCTGAAGGAGTTGAAAAAAGAGGAACACTTTACTTTGCAGTTAATAGAACCAAAGAAGGCATTTGGTAAGTTGAGTGTGAGTGTGTGTGAGTGATGGAGAGGCGGACAGAAGAGAGAGAGAAAGAGAGAGAGAGAGAGAGAGAGAGAGAGAGAGAGAGAGAGAGACTGGTTTCTTCTGTTGTTTATCTAAGATTCAGGACACTGCCGTGTGGGGCCATGTGCTTTCAGCCCGTCATCTTATCTAGTATACTAGTGAAGAACACTCTATTATAGACAGCATTACTCAGAAGGAGAGCGGCTATGGGAAGAAAATTTCCCTGTCAAAGGACCTTTTCTTTTTTAGTTTTGCTTTTTTGTTTTTGAGACAGGGTTTCTCTGTGTAGCCCTGGCTGTCCTGGAACTCACTCTGTAGACCGGGCTGGCCTCAAACTCACAGAGACCCCCCTGCCTCTGCTACCGAGTGCTGAGATTAAAGGCGTGGCCAACGCATCCAGCAAGAAAGACATTTTCTAAACCAACTTCTGGGTCTGCAGAGTCAGATGTCCAAGTGCGGAGTTGATGTGAGGCTGAGCCAACCTCTGCTGTATTGTTTCACTTTGCTGAGCAGGGAGGCTGTCTGTCTGTCTGTCTGTCTGTCTGTCTGTCTTGTTCTCCCTCCCTC